TGCCGTCGGGGGTTTGGGGAACTGGCTGTCCCAGGATGGCGTGGAGCCGGTCAGAGGGGGGGCAGGTGTCTGGTCCTGCCCCCCAGCCCTCACTAGCCCGCACATAGCCCAGGCGCAGCTCTTTGACTTTAGTCCGGACCTGTTCCAGGTTCCGGGCTGGATGTCCCTGCTGGGCTAGTGCCTGAACCATGCGGTCAAAGATGTCGGCGTTGCAGCGCTGGGACCAGGTGTCGTGGAGGCCCTCCTCCTCCTGCCACAAGTCCAGGAGGGTCTCCAGCTCCCTGGAGAACCACGACGGGGCCCTTCTTTTCCAGCCCTGGGGAACTCCTGCGCTGGGGGTGCAGGTGGCTGAGCGCCCGGAGCTGCCATGCTGACTGTGATGTGGCTGGGGGGGCACTGTGGCAGACCTCAGGCCAGAGGTCTGAGGCACGCTCCTGCCACGTGCGCTCAGCAGCCTGCATGTGCTTTAAGAGCTTGGGTTACCAGGAAGTCCGGGGCTCCTACGGGGTCTCCCGGCCTCCAAACCGCTTTTTTCCATTTAGCCTGCTTTTGCGCAAAAGTCTTAGCTAGCTGTCTACACTGGCCCTTTTGTGCAACAGTTTTGCACAAAAAGGACTTTTGCCCTGAAAGTCAAAGCTTTTCCAGATAATGCACGGATTTCGGACAGTAGAACGTCAGTGATTTTGCGGAAAATCAAGTGGCCAGTGTAGATATCTGGCAAGTTTTTCCAGAAAAGCGGCTGATCTTCCGGAAAAAGTGGCCAGTCTAGACACAGCCAAGAGGTTTTGAGGGCCAGTAGCAAAGGAGACTTATTTAGAGTGAACAGAAGGATTATCCAGTGCTGCAGTTTGTAATGAAAGAGGTGCTGCTGCACAATGAATTTATTTTTTATTTTTATAAGGGACACAGCAAGCCCACAGAGGCTCCAGCATTATGAATTGCCATGCCTAGAAGTGGCAGGGTTCAATCCTGGCACAAATTAAGCACCAAGATTATGTAATCCTTAGCTGCTGAAGAGAGGCACTCTAGGCATATATCATATTAGCCACACTTGAAGGGGAGTTTGGGGGAAGCCCTGGGACTAGCTGAGCAAAAAAATTATGCAAATTCTTTGTCTTACCTCGCTGCAAAGGAGAGCTCAGCAGACTGCAGCTGCTACTAATACACAGTAGTATACATGAAGTTGGAAGTAGAAAGGCCCAGTCCACTCTTTGGGAACTGCTAGATCTTTCCAGGGGAAATGAGAATTTAGCCCTTAAATTTTAGTGAAATTTGGTTCTGATAGAATTTTACCTAAAAGAAAAATGCTATAAGAAATGAAAAAGTTACTTTGGAAGTCAGACTAAGTATTTTCCTATTTCTTTCATTTATACATTTATTATATTTCAAATACTTACACTTGTTAATACATTTATATCTTTTGTGTTAGTATAAACACAGAAATGCTTTG